TCCTGATTGACAGACTGATATCGTAATAGATATACATTCAGAAAGGGCGGGTGAAATAGGGTAAGAATTAAGATGAATTGCACAAGTTTTTTTTGTGCGTACTAGTTACCAAATCTAAATTTTAAAATATCTAGAAAAAATCAATAATAAATAAATAATAATAATAATAATAAAATCATTTATTTGCAAGAACATGGTTAGATTGGTGTTAATTTAGTTAATTCCAGCATATTCTGTCGCATGCGACGTGCAAAAGTTTTTGTTCTTAAAGTTATGTTAATTGTTATTGCTACATTTGGTCTTAGATTTTACATATTTTTACAACACAAAATACTTATTTTACNTTGAAGCATAATTCTCTTAAATACATTTTACTGTGTGTAATTTGAATAAATTCGCAATTGTCATAATTTTTTATAAGTAAATTAATATTGTAGTTTAATAAGTCTACGTTTAAGTGTGTATTAAACAGGACGTTTACAACAAAAACTTTGAAATTTCTTAATTTATACAATGCTATCCCTAACTCAGATAGCAGGACGTAAGGATTTTTATCATTTGCTCCGATGGCCAGTACTACGATGTCGTCTTTCTTGAGAGTTTCTGTTAGATTATCGCAGGTATTCAGTACCTGTTTACTTGTTGCCTCTGTTTTCGTCATCGTAGTAATCGTATAGGGATTATTCAAGATGCAGTTCCGGCTACTATGCAGCTTTTTTGATAAGCCCTTGATTTGTTCGTCGCCCAGAATGAAGATCTGAGATTTTTTCTCACTCTGTGTATCATTTTTGGTGCTATTGTTGACACAACTGCTGCCATCCGTCGAGATGTCAGTGTTCCTATCGAAGGGTGTACAGGTTTCTTCTGCTACGTGGGGTTTCGAGTTACTCGGCGATGTACAAGTATTATACAGAACTGATTTGTCCATGTGTATTGGAGACGTCCGTGATATATTTGTGTTTATATGTAAAATTTTTCTTCGTATTGGAGTCATGTTTGTCTTCTTATGTACAATGTCACTGCTGATTGCTTTTAGTAATTCAATTTGTTTTTCCTGCTTCTTAATTTTATTCTGCAAATCATAGTTTTCGGAGTTCAGGTTGCTTATTTCTTGTTCTGCTCTTTCTAGTGAAAAACGTAGTGTTGCTAGCTCTCTTATATACTCTTCACTGCGTGACGTATCATTTTGTTGTGGTTCGCTTTGTATACTTAGCATCGTCGAATCCATAATGGTCGAGTTCAAAACATCTTGGGACATTTGAGAAAGATCCAATTCTGACCGTGATCTGGGCATTCTGGTACGAATTGTCACGTTTTCCATATTTATTTGCAAAATGTAATTATCGTAAAAAATCAAAAATAAAAAATAAAAAATTGTTTGAAATTAGTATGTCACAAAAATAAAAACNTTTTATTTCATCAACTGCCTAAGGTGGGAATCGAACCAATAACCTTTCGCTTGCCAACATGATTAAATTACTATTAATTTAACTTTTTAAACACCAGTTAAGTATGTGAGTTTTACACACGAACGGTTTATTACCATCATACAATACTTGAACCTTCTATTACTATAATAATAATTATTTGAAAGAAATAAAAACTAAAAAATCGTTTTTTTATATAAAACCCCCATATTTTCTCACTTTGGGTATGAAATAAAGAGGATGCCAATAGTGAGTGATTTTCTTGTGCTCAGCACTAGCCCACAATACATTATGATTATCCTAAACTGCACTACGATTATATACATACATAGTTTAATATCTGTAGACATTAATTTCATACCCTGTATATACCTTCCAAATCTGTTTCCAGTATGAAACTTGACACTCATAGAATATCGTGCAATATTAATAAGGACTTAATCTAACGTATTCAGGCAAAGCAAAATCATTAGTTCTATTGCCGATTCAAAATCAACACCTAATTGCAATTAGGTATTGCGAGAATTAGATTATCTGTAGCTTGATAGAGTCAGCAATAAACCTGAGGTAAACTCAGCTAGTTAATTAAATAATGTGCAACATCATAATGTTTGTAGAATGGACTTTTAGCATCTACATAATTATAAAAATAACATTTGTGATAGATTCAATTTCGTCATCGTTTCGCTACATACCACAATAAAATAAATAAATAAAAAATCGTTTATTGCTTTACAAAAAAGGAATTACAAAAGAAAACTTATATTAAAAAGGTGGAAGCGACTGGAGGTGGCTCAGCTTGTGCTGCCAAGGACTACAATGACATATTTTCTTAGACGGCGCTGGTTTCCAGCCATCCCCACTTCCCTTGAGGGGATTTTAGATTTTTAATTTTGATTCCTACTAATCATCATATTTATACAAAAAAGGAAAAAAAAATACTGTAAAAATATTATCTTAATTATTTTGTAAATTTTAAACCTTGTACATAAATATGTGTAAAGTATGGAGCTTACAAGTTTGCTCGTATACATTGGCGAGAAGCTACCAGCACTCTCTAAAATATACATTAATTTGTCTGCATATTTAAATTGTATTACCTTATAAAAACCAAACTCCGGTAATTACGGCTGGAGAATAAAAATAAAAAATAACTAATCATCATTGTCATCATCATCATTTCAGCCACAGGACGTCCACTGCTAAACATAGGCCTCCCCCAATGATTTCCACCAATGGCCGGTTTGTGGCGGCCAGCGCCTTCCTGCTACCTTTATGAGGTTCCTACTAATAGCGATCTTAAATAATTTATTTAGATAATTCACATTAATAAATTGCTTATTACATAAAATATATAGTTGCATTGCAGACAATGGCAGAATAACCTAGATACTCTGATATCTAAACCAAATTGTTCCTTATATAGGTACTAAATAGTAGATACCTATACTTACGATTTGGTCCAAAATATACAGCCTTATTTTAGCAAGTCATTCAATCATTATTAAGGAAAAATCCAAGTCACTACGTGGACCCGGATACGATAAAATTTTATTTTTCTCTTTGCATAGAGACGCCTTGGAGATCGATGCCTGGGTAGCGATGTAGACTACTTTGGGTAGGTATTTATAATATACTTACTTATTTCGATGGCTCAGCGAACTAAAATCTTGGCATATGATAGAAGACGTCACCATATCTCTATCTAGTGTTGTTTCACGTCAGTCACCTGCTTCTGTGATTCCTCCCAATAATGGGACGAAAGGGTAGTGGACAAAACACTGGATTACCCGTTTCAAGCTTGCGAAGATCCGCGTCCACCTTAACACCAGCCACCTGGCACCATCGAGTGAAAATGGAAACACATAAACTGTACTGTAAACCTTTCTGAAAAAAGAAACAGACCTTGTCTCCATATTTTCACATGTTTCCATTCCTCTTACTCGCGTCGAGATTTTGGCATATCAACTGAGACAAAAGTTCCAAAAATACAGTAGCAGCGTTAGGAGTAGCCATAGTTTAGTCCACCCCTTAAACCAGTCGTCAAAACTCGATGCAGACTCATTTCAAAAGCGGCAACACCGAATGAACTTTTTAATTACATTTCCTCCTTTTATTTTACCGCCAGTTGTGACTCGGCTCTGACACTTCTCATTTGCGAAAAATGTTGACATGCACCATTATTTGCGGTTAAGATATGAAATGTTTACGCGGTGGTTTGAATACGAAAATCGTGGAGCTTTTGACAAAGTGTGGCAACATTTTGATGTTAGTAGAATGCTTTGTTTTGAAGACTTTTTTAAGCGATTCCAACTTTATATTTTAGGAGTATGTTTGTGTTTCAGGTTTTCATGCTTTGACTGATCAAATAGCTGTTATGAATTTAGCTGAACTAGATTTTCTAAACGATCATTTTTCTTTGCGGTCCAGTTTGCGTATTTGCTGTTAGAATGGCTTGTACTAATGAACGGATTGCGCACTATTTGGCTATTTGTGGAATTACTTCCAGATCAATGCGAGCTGCCACTCGCATGCGGTCGGATCCGAGCACATAGACTCTAATTCTGTTGCTCGCCGTATTTCAATTTGGGCTGATTGCACTTTTCAGTGAGTGCTCATTGCTCTCTAAAAGCAATACTTACTGTTTTTCTTGTTTGTTTCAGATAACTGACAACTGAAAAACCTGTTCTTTGAAGACTGGCGTGAGTTTCTGTATGACCGTCCTGTAACAGGTAATTTTTTCAGAAGCTATTTACTAGGTAACTGATGGGAAGGAAGGGGAAAATACTCGTATATTGTAACTTTTGAAATTGCTGAAAAGGTACTTACTCCGTGTGAAATAAAATACCAGTCTTATCAATTTTAAATTTTCGATGAGATTGGTGAGGCTCGAACTCATATAATTTGTAGCTTTCCTTGTGGTCACTTATCAAGTGGGTTGCCGAAACTTCACATTTCACCTTATAGAAGTTCACATTAAATTTCTACTTAATGTAAACAAATGTATAACTTTTTAAGTTATGACTTAACAGTGATAACTTATGGCTCGGAAACGTGGCCTCTCACTATGGGCCTTATACAGAAGCTCAAAGTTGCACAGCGTGCTATGGAGAGGGCTATGCTTGGTGTTTCTTTGCGAGATCGAATCAGAAATGAGGAACCGAAGTCGCTGACATAGCCCGACGGATTAGCAAGCTGAAGTGGCAATGGGCAGGGCACATAGTACGCAGAACTGACGGCCGATGGGGCAGAAAGGTTCTGGAATGGAGGCCGCGTACCGGAAAACGCAGCGTGGGACGTCCACCTACAAGGTGGACCGACGACATTGTAAAGGTAGCAGGGAAGCGCTGGACGCAGGCCGCTACCAATCGATCAACATGGAAAGCATAGGGGGAGGCCTATGTTCAGCAGTGAACGTCATATGGCTGAAATGATGATGATGATGATGATGAACTTTTTAAGTGAATATTATTTCAGATCTTTGAAGCATTAAAAATCACAAATTCCATGACTTGCTGTGTTTCAAGTGTGAAAAAGGTGACTACACTGTAATAAAACAATAAAATCCTTCGACATATATATTTGTATTAAATCAACAATATTCTTAGTCTTTACAATCTTTGGTATAATCATCAGCTCGTTTAGGTACAGTTAACTATATTTAAATTCACGATTGCGCCAAATACATCTATCTATTTATAAAGTTAGCTTAACTATGTTACAAGAACGCGTATGTTACAAGTATTACAACTCATTATGTTACAATTAGGTGTTGTTGGCCCATACTAGGACTGTGGCGGTGAGCAGGAATTGGCACAAGTGGAGGTGAGACGCGGCCCCGGGGGAGGTTACTGTGAAAGAAAAGTACAAATTACATACACAAAAACTAAAAATATGTATTGGTTATGTGGGCCGTTTTCAGAGCACTTAAAGAACGGTGAAAATGATTTTGATCTAAGAAACCGGATTCGATTTCCGGTTCGATTCGCACACGAAGGGATTCGTACCATCGCTGTATCGTACAAGACCATAATAAAAATTACACTCAACAGCTATTAATAGAATCGATTGCTCTATAATGACGATGTATAGCTATTTAAGTACATTGACAATAATTTGGAATGCAAATACATTTTCACAACAAACTAGACTGAGACCCCTCATTCAAGGAAACCTTTTTCTTTGGAAAATGCATATGAACGACTTACAAACTTACATAATTGTATTTATTTTGGCTAACATTTTATTTAAACCTTTTATTATTACTGAACTGAATCGATGAGAACATTCAAAATAACCGATTCAAATTCGAAGAAGATGGGTATTTTACAATTAATCACCGTTACAAGAAGATATTTTTCCTATCTTTAATTCCAGCGTTCCTTGAAATTAGCAACTATTAATGAAAGCTCTCCTTCCAGTTAACATTGTCATGTCTTCACTGCTTTTGAAAGCCTTTGTAATTTAATTTGCTTTATAAGCTCAGCGCACACAAGGGCGCGCTAACGCTGTATTAACGCGGGATTAGTGGTGGAAGCGTGCGTGGATTAATCGATCTATCGATAAACTGGCAAAATGGGAACACGGTCATGAAGTATCGTTATCGAAATAACGTTATCGTAAAATGCGTATCTTCTTCTCAGTCGGTACACTCTTGTCAGAGTGGTCGTGGTCATTGTGAATCACGATGAGTGATGTTCCTCGCAAAACGGCGCTATTCCTCGCGTAAATTGCGTATAAAAGAACTTATAATGGTTTTGTGTTTGGCTTTTCAGGAATAAGTTTTAAACATAATCTTAAGTTTAACGTAACAACTAGAATAAAACAGTCTCATTTCTAATTGGTTAATTAATTTTACACTATAAATCGGCTACTATGCAATAGACACCAATGATGTTGTTTATTGAGTGTGTATAGTGAGGCGGGTCGTTACATTCCCTCTAATATGGTCGAGTGAAGCGATGGCTGGTTCACTCGTCATGTCTGTGAACAGGCGCTGCTTTCGGGGACTGGTCAATCCAAGTTATTCCAACTTATGTAGGTATGCGAGTCATTTCTACTAGTATTTGAGTATGTAATCTGTAAGTCTAGATATTAGCACGTCACTACCTTGTTTAATATGCCACGCAATTTTGTATACCCATTCTTATAAGATACACTATACAAGAATGCATGGTAAATTCAGTGAACTGCTCCTGAATCGAATGTACCTACTACTGCTATTTCTATTTATTTATATTAACCGGCAGACAGTGGTGACTGAGTTTGTTGCGGCGCTTCTTCTCAGCACTTGCCAAATGTTGGTCTCGAAGCGCTGGTAGGGTAAAAAGATTATGAGACATGTAGAGGCTCCTTAAGAGCAAAATGACGATTTGTAAGAACTATTTATTAGTCTAAACAAATAAAGAAATTTTGACTTTGACTTTGACTTTATTGTTATGCTATCGTTTTAGTTATGTCTACTTTAAAGGATTTGCACTGCAGTCATATCATGTCAAAGTACTTAATCGTACGAGTACATTATGCGCGCTGCATTCACATTGACCTAACCATCCAGTGTGACAAATTCTTCAGGATAGAGTAAGTTTAGAAGTAAATAAACTCTTTACCCCTTCTTAATAAAAGACACCGTAGTTAAACTCTGATTCAAATTGTCATTTAGTATGGAAATGTCATTTTAATCCAGAGTTCATCATAGGTGTAACTTTTTATTAATAAGGGGGCTCATCTTGAAAATCGTTATCGTGTTTTCATAGTCCCTTTTATCCGCTACCGATTGTATCGATATATACGTATTTACTCACAACTCTACCTAACATCAAACAGAATCAGAATTATGCAAATACAGCATAATTAAGAGCCAATCTGGCGGCCCCATCTAAGTCACCGACGAGATACGGCAAATGTATTACACCTACAGCTCTTTATCTCGGAGATAAAACGATTCCCTGTATAATCTCAACCAATTCAATTTAGTTTTGTTCTCTTTAGTTTTAATTGAGGAAAGTACATATACTCGTACCTAATTTACAAAAAGCTAGCTCAGTGAGCGTCTGGATTGAATTGCGTACCGGACCAAATGCTTACAAGTTGTGGGTTCAAATTCCGCTGGCAATAAATGTAATATTTTCTGTGATACTTGAAATAAAAAAATATTATCTGATAAAAGATCTTCCAAATAACGATTTTAAACGGTTTTTGGGATCGTGTAATTCTATGAAATCACTTGGGACTTGAATGGAGTGAGATAATTATTTATATTTGACTTGTTAAATAATTTATTATGATAGAGTACTAGGATAAAGCCGACAAAATAGAAAAGCGAATGCTCAACCTAATTTAAGGTGATCAATAAATTAATTAATCTCTCTGAAGACGAGTTGTCGATTTTAATCTAAAGTAAAGCTATTTTCAGTTAGAATTTGCTATCGGCAAAATCCTTGTAGTCTTCAGTACCCGTTGCTATTTTACGCATGGAGAAAATCAACTTTAACAGAGCTTCGTTATTTGAAGGAAATTGATTTTGTTAGTAATCACATGAGCACAAGTGAGCAATATCGACATGAATTAAGATAAGATTTTAAACTTTCGCGTTCCATTTCTAATAAAATAGTAAGACACGGGTCTTAACGTCGCGTTAGGACCCGTGTCTTACTATTTTAGATGAATAAAGAGATTCTATCTTCTTAAAAAATAAGATACAATAATAAATAAATAAATAAATCTTTGGACAATTTCACACAGCGCCAGCTAGCCCCAAAGTAAGCAACTTAATGCTTGTGTTATGGGTGCTAGCTTAACGGATATACTACTTATATACTTTTTTTTAAATACATAAATATTATATATAGTCACACCCAGACCCGTCACAGAAATTAAAATTCATCATTTCAATTTCTGCCCGGCCGGGAATCGAACCCGGGACCTCTCGGCATTGTAGTCCGTTCTGAACCACTACACCAAACGGCCGACAAAACAATGATTGACAATTACATTTTGCGATTAGTTCATACAGAGAATATTAGTTGTTGCCGTGTTGTTGTGTAAATACACACAGTCCCGGTAACCCCTCATGTAATCTAAATAATTATGCTTGTGTTATGAGTGGGATTACCACAATAGTCCAGCGGCGGCGAGGTTCGAACTAGTGTTACTCGAATCTTGAGTCAATCAGTTCACTGTCGGCAATTATCGCTTCAAATAATTCGCATTATAATAATACTTCGCACAAAATGACTGTTTTTCAGCTGACAAAATCACCGAGTGATTGAATTTCCTTTCAGTTGTCCTTTCAATTTTCTAAAATAAAGACACGGGTCTTATCGCGACATTTTTATGAATGAGTTACAATAAGGTAGCCTTTCGAACTAAGCGTCACAGACGCAGCGTCTTTAGCTTTGGTCTTTAGTGCCACCAACGCCACGTCACTAACGCCGCTACAGTGTCACTGCGTTCGAATGACGTTCCCTAGAATTACATACATTTTGCATATAACATCTATTTGTCGCTCTGTCGCGGCGTCACAGTCGCGGCGCCACTGACGCTATAGACACTCGCTTCGAAAGGCTATCTTTACATAGAATCTTAAGGTAGCCTTTCGAACTAAGCGTCACAGACGCAGCGTCTTTAGCTTTGGTCTTAAAGGTAGCCTTTCGAAGCGAGTTAGTGACGTGGCGTTGGTGGCACAAGACCAAAGTTATAGACGCTGCGTCTGTGACGCTTAGTTTGAAAGGCTACCTTTAAAGATTCACGGCTTGACGTTTTGGCTACTATGCTGCAGCCGTGGTCACAAGCCGACCCATGTCTTTCTATTTTAGTTGAAATGGAACGCGAAAGTCTAAAATCTTCTAATTNAATAAAAAAAAAAATAAAAAAAAAATTAATTTTCTACAATTTCCTTATAGCTTAGTTTAAAATACTTCAAGCTAACAGTTCGCGGAAACCAAGACGGATGCGCGGTTACGTGGCTCACTGTCCGTTGTTTGTAGCGCCGAAGCAAAATTTATTACTCTCGTACAGCGCCTCTGTTATCCTCGGAGGAAATTGTCTTCGCAAATGACGCGGGAAGTAATAACTCATCGCCCTCAATGCCCTCTTTGGTGCTAATCTTATTAGTTGGAAGCGGCTGAAATGTAAATGGAATGGCGGGATATGATCGGGATGTCTTGTAACGAAATTTATTTGCGATATTGGCTTGAGGTCGGCGGACGGAGGTGACACGATTTGGGCTGTGATTTTCGTTTCTAGAAAGTTTATATATTTTTTGCTATATTGAACTTGTTAAAAAAGTAACTCGCTGGTTTAAAAGTTAAACAGAAATACCAGTAAAGGCTGTCCAGCAGTAGGCGTCATTTAACTGAAACGAACGAACCGGTAAATAAACATTTTTAGTTAAAAATTAATTAGTTAAAAATTGTATCATTGTTGTTTATAAATCACTCCTCAAAGTTACAAAACGTGTCACGATAGCATTGTGTTATGTTTTATAAATATTGGGGTGAGTAACCTGAAAGCACGATTGACACCGCCCGCCCAGAAAGCTGCCGAAGCTCCTGAAGTTTTCGAGAAAAGTTTTTCTAATGACAACCATACTCGTACATCAATTCTTTCAGAATCAGAACATTCGGAAAGACTAGCCTTAAACGACCATTCCCGATTCAAATTGATTCCAGTCCCGACCGGCTCGCCGTCACTCGGCTGTAAAATTATCATAATCTACGTCATTAACTACAAATGGCGTGACGTCACTATTGTGATGCAGCTCGGGGCGATAACTTTTTATATGCTATTCCTGAATAATTTCAATTTCATTTTTTATTGCTGCATTCTTGAATGTTTTATAATAGAAATA